AAAAAAAAAAAAAACTCCAATTAGAAAATTAAACCACCCAGGTCTCCGTCCAAAAGTGGGGATCGTACAATAACTTCGGTGGTTCATTAAGTTGCCGACACACAGCTATAGCATGAGAGCATGGTTTCCTATGTGTCTGCCACTTCAGATAACGACAACACCTCTCATCGTACCAAACCTTACACATGTTTTTTCCACATTGAATTATATTCATAAACAACTAAAAATTTTAATGAACCAAAATAAAAAATATAAATTATACAATAAATAAATAAACCGTATACCTTTTGTCCCCTCTACCACTCGCCCGTAGACCCGTTGTCACCTCGTACAGTGATCTCGCCGCGTTCAAACATCTCACCTTATGAGTTGCGGCCGTACTTTTCAATTCGCAATAAGAGGCATGGAGGGCACTAGCAATGGCATTACTGCATCTCATGGACTTCTTTTGTTCCTGAACAAACAAGTCTAGAGTTTTCATGAATGTGGCGTGTACCAAAGCTCGGCAGGGCAAGAACCTAACACCTTTTAGGATGTTGTTGTAACTCTCGAACATATTGATCGTCAATGTACCCCATCTACGTCCTCCCTCGTCTCCAAGCAGGGTCCACTTCTTTAGAGAAATTACGAACATGTAATCGTATGATCTGGATTAAATTTGGAAAGCCTCTCTCGTATTTGTTGAAATTTTCGCTCTGAAAGCTGTGAACCCAACTCCCAACACCAATTTCAGATTTTGCTATTCTTGTACCTAGTAACCACGTTGCTCCGAAGGTGTCAAAGACAAATCCAGTCACCAATGGATCCACGGCACTTTGTAAGCCAGCATCCCTGTCCGGAAGAAGCATATTTGTCTGTCGCCGACAACATGTTGTCAGAGATTTGTCAGGAAAAATGGCCAGCTTTCCCTGCTCTCTTCATCCACAATCGCATACGCGGTTGGCAATAAACGCTTATTGGTAGTCTGTGCAATGGCCACAAACAACTTCCCCTTGTACGAGCCACGCAAATGTGTGTCGTCCATGCTAATCACCGGCGGGCATCTCTGAAAGGTCTGAATGGCGGGACCAAAAGCCCAGAAAACAAATTTGAATTCTCTGTGCTCATAGTGGGCCGCCATTTCCCCATCCTGCCATTCCCACTGTACAACTGTAGTGGGATTCGCGCTTTGAAGCACCGCAAAAAATCTGCACGTTATAGAACGTAATCGTCAATACATGAACATAGTGAGACAAATAACACATACATTTGTAATATATTTTTTTCTTACTGGGGGAGTTGTGCGAAATTCTCTTCCCAAGTGTCATACAATTGGTCGATGGCTTTTTTTCTCCCTTGCCACGCCTTCTTATAGCTCACATCGACTTTCCAACATTTTTTGACATCCTACTGGATCAGAGTAATACTGTAATCGAGTTTCTTTTGAATCTTGGTCATGACAAGATTTGAAATCATAGTGGCGGTTACATTTATATGGTCATTTTTGTCAACTTCTTGCATACAACTATGCCTCTCGGTCCATTCCGTCACTTCCCACAGTTCATGAACTCGTGTGCAGTGCGTCACCCGAGCCTTCCACGGACAAGGTTGAGCTTAGTCAAATTTACACACCACCTTGAATGATTTCTTATTCGAATATGTTGTCTTAACCTCCCTCAATCTACTAACGTTCCAATTCATGATACCCAACTGTGCTTCTTCCTTCGATCAGAAAACAGTACCCAAACGGATAGTCTCGACATTTCCATTCCAACTAGCGAGAGCATACTCATCCCGGTCTACACACGATGGATCCCACTCACCCATCTCACGATACACGTGCTGACCGCTACTAGGAAATGGGTGCTCTTCAATAAACTCTGGCTCACTCTCCTCGTTTATTGATCTATCCGATTTCGTTTCTGATGTATCATCTGTGAAATCATCTTCAATAGGAATGAAATCATCATCGGGTTCTTCTCTAACTGTTGAGCTTGTCCCTTCGCCAAAATTGCGAACATGTGAAGTGAACGTATCCTCAAAATTAGGCACTCCCCCGTAAAAAAAAGGGGAATATCCTCAAACTGTGTAATCACTGTAGGTGCCTACGTAACCTACTTCAACTCTAAATGCACATACACATAGGAGAAAGAAGAAAAATAATATATCCACTGAAAAGCACTATCAGTATTCAAGTTTCCAATATTCCACAAACCATCGGGTCGGCTAGTCAGTAAACTAATCCCCTCAATTATCCAACCATCTCGACGGAACCCAAAATTTTCATAAAGTATATCTACAAATTGTTGAAATGATATTCTCTCCCCAACGCTAAATGAACCATCCGGACAGTTTATAAAATCTGAAAATGAATCTAAAAATTCTTTGGGATGATTCCAATACACATTAACAAAGTATGGTTTGGTAGACGCCATTTATACCTGTTCAAAATAAAATCACGATTCTTTTATCAACTCTAATACTCATAATCCGTCAATAACATATAATACACTTTCAACCAAAAAAAAATAAAAAAAAATATTCTCAATCAAATAATCCTTCAAAATCTTAATACCCTTATCGAACAATAACATAGAAATCATCTATAATTCCGATAAATTGAAACCCTAATTCTAACCTTAATTTCAAAAAACCTTAACCCCAACTACAACCAAACAATTATACAATTGACAATTTACACACAAAATTTTAATCTCCAATTCAACATACACACATAATCGTTAATCAATTAACAATTTCAATCTTCAAACACCAACACATTCAAACATATTATAACAATTCTCAATCTTCAATTCACTCCAAACAAATATAAAAAGTTAAGATAAGTCAATATACCTCGTGCGAATAAATTAACCAAAAATAAGGCTCGTGTAGCTGTTATCGATTCACGTCGGGATGAGAATCAAATCGATTTTTTTTCCCCAAGTTTTGTTCGCTCTTCCTGTTCTCTGTTATCCCTCAAAACAATTGCTTGCTGCTCTCGCGTAAAAATGAATGGAGGACAAGAATTTTTTCTTTTAATATATTTTACTAAAAACGTATTTTAAAATACGTTTTATTTAACTTTAATTATACAACGTATTCCTATAATACGTTTTATTAAAATATATTTATTTAAAAATAAAATATTTTTTAAAGGAGGTATTGTTGAAATACATTTTGTAAAAACGTATTTAAATAATACGTTTTTATTTTTTTACACATTTTGTGGAAACGTATTTAAATAATACGTTTTTATTTTTGTAAT